TCCACCTAAGCCACAGAGCGCAGCACACAGAAGCACAGGCTTTGAATCTGTCTCCACCACTTACTAGTTCTGTGACCTTGGGCAATTGACTAATCTCTCTGCCCCCTCAATTTCTCCACCTGTAAAATGGGTCTATACCAGCTCTCAAGGTGGCTGTGGGGTTTCGGCAAGAGGATGGCTGTAAAAGAGAATGCTTCACACAAAGCCTGGCCATGCCAAGTGCTCGATAAACAAGAGTCATTGTTGTTGTTATTCTGACCCTTCAAGTATGGGTACACGTGCCTCCTCCATCATGAGGCCCTCCCTGCTCACTACAGCCCCTTCCACCCTGACTCCATGGCATCTCCAGGATGTAACATCCTGTCCTGTTTCTCAGAGCTCTAATAACTGTGGGGTCTTAGGTAGGTCCCTTGCCTCTTGTGCATCAGGTCAGGGGAATAGTGCCCACCTCGGGGGTTGTGGTGAGGGTTAGTGAATGAATATATGTGCTTGGCACATGACTGAATATACATGAAGTGCTATAGAAATGTTAAGTAATATTAGTTAGGGTTAATCATCACAGTTAACCAACTGTGGTCCCACAGCATCTCCTCTACTTACCCTTCCTGTTGTAGAATGGACTGTAAGCACCCTGAATCAGCGACCAGGACTCCTGCTTCTCTGTGGCCTCCTACTGCACTTGGTACCCAGCAGGGCATGTTAGACCCCCCGAGCCTCACCTACAGGGCCTTCCCAGCTGGCCACCTGGCAGTAACTGGCAGTTCCAAGCCTCCTTTAATGCCAAGGTGCCAAAGTCAGGATGGGAATTGGGAGCCCCCAGACCTGCCTCTCACAGGGGCCGTGACCCCTAGCACCCCATGTCTTGCCCATGAACACCCTTCTCTTTCTCCCAGGCCTCTGCCCTCTCAGAGTCTCCCACAGGGGCTCAGGAGAGCCCCCGTCTTCTCCCTTCTTCCCGAGCAGCTGCCCCCCGACTTGGCGAGGGACCCCAGGGCAGAGTGCAGCTACAAGGAGCCAGAAGGCGGGATTACACGCTGACATGGGCCGGAGGCCAGTGCCGGGTGGTTATTGCCAGTGCCATCGACCCACACAGCTCACTGTTTATCTGTCTTCCTGACACACCTAATTACCCAGGTTGCAGCTGCCAGAGCGTTTGCTCTTCCTAAATCACGGGCTCCCATCTCTCCTCACCCAGGCCTCCGGGCCTCTGCCTGTAGAGGGGCTGCCATTGATTTTGCCGTTCCCATTTATGATCTACAAGGCTCTGCATCGCTGTTGCACATTTTACCTTAATTAGTTTATTCTTCTGGGCGTCCCTGGTCAGCTCAGAAGCCAGGAGGTGGAACAGGGGAAGAAGCTAACAGCACATGGCACCCTGACCCTTCTCCCGAGCCTGGGTGGACATCCAGAGACAGCAGTTTGCTAAGAACAGTGCTAGGTCCACGGGATGTTAATTGATGAGCTGTGAAGAGGGGTTCCATGGCCAACTGTATTTGGGAAAGACTGTATTAAATGATTAAGCAGGGGCGCCTGGGTGGCTCGGTCTGTTAAGCATCTGACTTCAGCTCAGATCATGATCTCGCAGTCCATGAGTTCAAGCCCCGCGTCGGGCTCTGTGCTGACAGCTCAGAGCCTGGAGCCTGCTTCGGATTCTGTGTCTTTCTCTCTCTCTCTGCCTGTCCCCCGCTCACATTCTCTCTCTCTTTCTCTCTCTCTCTCTCTCTCTCTCTCTCTCTCTCAGAAATAAACATTAAAACAAATTTTAAATAAGATTAAGCAGGTAATTTATTGCAAGACTTTTTAAAAGTTTTGATAGACTGATGTCCATGGAGAATCTCGAGGGGGCATGATGGAAGGTGTGGTCTTTCCCAAACTCAGATGATCACAAAATCTTTTCTCCATCATCTCACAGAGACCAGGGTTCCATAAAGCACACTCTGGGAAATGTTTGTCTTGGGTGAGCGGGAGGAATGGGAGGTCATGAAGCCAACAGAGAGGGACAGAGTCATCCTGGTCCCATTTGTTCCTCTTGTCTCACTGAGGTAGGAACTCAACGGCGTGAGAAATTTCTGCCACTGAATGCACAGGTACCCATGGTGCTCTGTGAGCCCCGGCTGCCGGCAGCTGCCTTCTCACCCCGGCCCGCGCTTCACCAGAAGTTAACCAGGGTACTTCAGTGGGGACTAGACGAGCGGGAGGTTACCGTCTAAAGGGGCCCTGGTGTGACAGAGGAGGGCAGGGCCGCTCACTGTTGGGGGAGGCTGGAGACCTGGAAGCCTGCGGGGCCCTCCGCAGAGGTGCCCTGAGCGTCAGCAGGCGTTGACCAGGCTGCCGCCGCCTCGGGAGCAGCCGTGAGCACGGCAGGCCAGGCCCACAGTCCTCTACCACAGTCCTGAAATCCAAACCATTCTGAGAGCCTCAGGTGTTTTGTTTTTTTTTTTTAAGTTTGTGGGAAAGTGAATTGATAGCAAAACCTGTCCTGGGCTGATGTGAGCTATTTATAGACTTTATTTATCCCACTTAGTGTGAATATTCATATATTTTACAGCAGAAATATTAATGTGTTTAATTATAGGGTGCTGCCCCATCCCTCTTGGGGGTGTTATGTAATAAATGGTGTGTGCGCTGTGTTACCTTTCTAAAATGTGAAAGAAAAAAATCTAAATTTCTAAATACATCTGGCCCCCAGGGATTGTGATGAGGTGCTGTGGGGCTGCCGTGTGCAATGCTGACCATGGCCCCGGGGCTTCAGTGCCTTTTTTTTTGATGTGGATTTATTTTAGAGAGAGACAAAGAGAGTGAGAGCGGGGGAGGGGCAGAGAGAGAGGGGGACAGAGGATCTGAAGCAGGCTCCAAGCTCTGTGCTGACAGCAGAGAGCCCGACCTGGGGCTCAAACCCACGAACCATGAGATCATGACCTCATGACCACGAGCCGAAGTCGGACACTTACCTGACTGAGCCACCCAGGCGCCCTTTCAGTGCCTTTCATCCTGTAACTCCCACAGCCACAATGTGGGGGAGGAGGCACAGGAAGGAGTCAACTCCCTTGACCCCCAGGTGAGGAAACCAAGGCTGGAGAGGATAAGGAACCAGCAAGGCCTGAGCGGAAATTGGCGTGGGCACAGGCTCAGGCCATCGGAGTCAGCACCTGTGCTCCCATCCAGAACCAACTCCTCAGATGCCCCTGTGGGCTTCCCTCCCAGGCCGCCATGGCTCTGTGCAGACCCCAGATGTGGCTCCTCAGCCAAGCCTCCACAGAACAGACACCTGCAGGCCTCCCGGATCTGCTTTCTGCTCCCCTCAGAAAGGGCCTTTTCCTCCCCCAGATTGGCCTCTGCCCCTCTAAGAGAGTCAGGCTCCAGTGCCAGCTCCCTGGTGTCTGGTGAGCATTTGAGGCCAACTCCAGACCCCACAGGCCACGCACCAGCTCCCGTGGGTCCCTGTGGTCTGAGGAGGTTCCCATGGGAGGCCACTCAGAGAGCAAAGCCTTTTGTTGTCTCCTGGGCAGAGCACCTGAGAGATCCTTTATATCCACCCTCACCTCACATGCTCACACTCCCACAGTCCTCTTCAGTCACTCGTTTCATGCACTGACTCTCGCCAGAGCCGTGCAGTGCAGAGCTAATGTCCCTGAAGAACCTTCAAGAGTGGCCCATCTGTAACATGGCAATGATCACTTGTGTCTAGACCACTTGGTCTCATAGCTACCGCCTTGAGGGGGCACTGTGCTAAGCCTTTGGGGTGCGTCATCTCACGTATTCCACACGGTAAACTTGACACAGTTATTACTGCTGTCCCATTTCCAGGGAAACTGGAGCTCAGAGATGCTAAGCAACTTGCCTAAAGTCAACAGCCAGCCCCCAGTAGTAGAATCTGGGTAGAACAGAGACCAGGACTGGGGCTTGTGTACTCTAAACCCAGACGTCTTAACCGCTGCAGCATGCTGCTTCCTTCCGCCTAAGCCCATGGCCTCTCCCTTGGGCCAGCCAGAGAGTCAAGTGCAGGGGCCTGTCCCCAGGTCCACTCTTCCCCAGGCTCACCTTCCTGACTTCTGCAGCTGCTCCTTGCGTGTGTTCCTATGCCAGTCCTTGCGAGCAGAACACGATCCCTCCTAAAATATGACTGCTCTGGGTCTCACAGGAGCAAGAAATAAACTAGGGGTGACAGCAGAGCGGAGAGCTTTGATCAAGTGGTCTTAGAAAAGCTTGAGCCTCCGGCCACCAGAAGTTCTTCCCTGCTTCCCCAAAACCAAGCTGCTTAGCCATGAATGTGCCTCAGGAGGCCACAGACCCCCTGCAGTTACATGTGGTATATCGTGTGGTGCATGTGTGTGCAACTCCCTGAGCTGAGGGTCCTCAGCCTCCATCCACTTCTCAAAGGGATGGAGACCACTGCTCCCTAGGGCCTCCCAGGGCTGCCCAAACCCTGCACACCACCTGGGTGCTGACGCTGCTGCCGTCCGGTTCCCCTGGGTGTGGGAAACAGATCTGTCAGAACCCCACTTCCAGCCCCTTCCTAGATCCGGACTTAGAGCTCCACCCACCAACCAGGATCATTTTTTCTCAGACCCAGATCAGGTCCTGCGATCCAGCAAAGAATGTAGGAGGCAGCTTCTGGGGAAAGAGAGATTCTGGGTTGAGTTTGGGTGCTGAGATATCAGCAATCCCAGATCTCCTGGATGTTGCAGGAACATGGTGCAGAATGTGAAACCCAGCTGTTGAGAGTCATCTCGGACACACAGCAGTGGTAACATTTCTTCTGTAGTTCCTGAGGCCTGGGCTGGCTCTTTTCATAAGCCTCAGAGTCTCTTCTCTCAACTGAAAATATCTGAGTGCCCCCCAGACGGAGCCTCGCCTGCTTGAGTGAGTGCTGCGGGGTGCACTCACCTTGCCGCAGGTGACCCATCCACCTGTGGCCCCGACCACCTGTGGTAGGTGCCCCGAAACATACCTGCACACCGGCCCGCCATCCACCGGCGCTCCCTTCCTCTTCTCTCCAGGGGTGGCCACGTACACGGACAAGTTGTTCAAGTTCCGCAACAACCGGTGGGAAGACATCCTCAGTGATGAGGTCAACGTGGCCCGCGGTGTGGCCAGCCTCTTTGCCGGGCGCTCCGTGGCCTGCGTGGACAGGACGGTGAGTTCAGGGGTGCGTGGGGGGCCTGGGGAGAAGAGGGGGGCACGCAGTGATGGGAGAGCCTGGAGGGGAGCCAACAGGCAGACGTCCCCCGACAGAGTGAGGCTGTCGGGGCAGAGCCCAAAGCTTCACCAGCAGCTCCCACCGTGCCTTGCACATAGTAGATACTACATATCAACAAGACTTGCAGGGTGAGTTGCAGTCTACTTTCATATCCTTTCTCCCTGGAGGCCCTCCCGGCAGCCAATGAGGAAACGGGTCAGGGGCTGTCATCATCGTGTCCGTCGGGCAGAGGAGGGAGCCAAGGCCCAGCTAGGGGCAGTGGCTTGCCTGAGGACCCAAAATAGATTGGCAGTGTGACCAGGATGTGAATCAGACTTCTCTAGCTCTAAACCTCGTGCTCATTTTTTCAACCAGTATTTATTAAGTGCTTACTTTGTGCCAGGCATTGAGCCACAGAGCTCTCCCCGAAAATATTTGTGGAACAAATGAAGGCATGACAGAGAGGTTCATGGGTGGGTGAGTGGAGGGTGGCCCGAACGTCCAAGTACTCTAGTTAATCAAGAGCTCTGTCGCCGCGTTCGCGCCTGCTGGTCCACCGTACCGCAGGGGCCATCACAAAGCAGGTGGGGAGGAAAGGCTGAGGGGGAGGGCAGGGGCAGATGCAGCCACCTGTCCTATGGGGTGGCCCAGCAGTCCCAGCCAGAGCAGGAGGCTTGCCGTGGAGGTGATTTATCCCTCCTGTCACCTGCTCCCCTCCTGCCCCCTCCTTGGCTTCATAGACAGTCATCAGTAAATCAGGGACCCAGCTGCTGCCTAGCTCCATTCTGGGGGCAGGGTCGAGGGGCCTTGCTCATTTCAGGATTGAGATGGCACAAGGGGATTGGGGATTCAGTGTGAATCTTCACAGCAGGGGCCTCCAGGCCTTGGGAGAAGGCAGGTGCCAGGTATAAATATTTATTTCTTAACAAGCTGGCACTGGGAACAGAAGCCAAGCTGGGCTGTGAAGCCACATTTAGCCCTGACCTGAATCTTTGCCACCTGGACTCCTGCCTGGTGGGAGGGAATGAGGAGGCGGCAGCTCTGGGAGCGGCCCCCACCAAGAGTAAGAAGGGTCTGGGGGGTACCAGGCCCAGCCGCTGCCGGGAGCCTCTTCCCAGGCTCCTGCTTCCTGTCTCGCTCCTTCTGAACCAAGGCTTCCCACACATGGCCAAGGTGGAAACCATCTCCGATCTGGTGGCAGGGCCTGAAGGTTAATCACAAAGAGATGCACTCTTGTCCTAACAAGGTCATCTGCACGCCCACGCCTTTAACCACAGGACAGAGGCACCACGTGAAATGAAAA